GCATATTTCAAGTACATTATGGGTGAGACTATTTTTTCTGCATTTCCCTACTTCACTAAGCTTCAATGAATAGTGCTACAAAGTCAATTTAGTGCAGTTATTGCTCATTTAGATTCTTACTAGCAAGGAGCCAATTTCTCTGGCTCATTTTATTTACCCACTATTCTGTGTTAAGTGGGCAGTCTTCACGCTCACAGTCAGTGAGCATGGGAAAATTTGAACAAAGATTTCTCCTGTCTTCCTTTTCTTGCTCTAAGTACAGGTGGAGTTGTTATATACAGCGTGGGGGATTCGAGCTACATTTAGTATTCCTCTTCTGATTCTTGTAACAAAATTCATCTCACACACTTATCCATACGGGCTTTAGACACTCAGATAGTCATGCGTGCACAGCCTCTACATTTGTGTGTAAAACTGAGTGAAGCTGGTCGTTTAGAGATATTGCTTGCACTTTTATTTTCATTCAAGAGAAGAAAAGGCCCTGTTAGGGCCTTCTTAAGTTAGGATAAATGCAGTGACTTTAATGTTGAGGAACTTCTCCCTTCCTCCGAGGCTGGCTAGTTTGGAAAATAGCTTTATTTAATGATTAAAAGAAAAAAGAAGAAGAAAAAAAGCCTGCTGGAACGTGACTGGGAAGGTTAGGTTATTGAAGAAGAATCCTTGTCATTATCCAACAGACTGATCACACCATTAAGTTAACATGTCTGGTTGCATCTTTTGCACTTGGTTGCAGATGCCTGATAACACTGTCCTAATCATTACAAGGGCCAAATTCAAGCAGCAGAGGATTTATAAAATCTAGGCCCACCACCAAATGAGCACACCAGAACTTCCTTGGGGGGAAGAACAGATACTGGCTTATCTGGAGAGCTGGCTCAGATGCCCGGGTGACCAGTCAAAGCACATGGAACAGAAACAAAGGGGAAAACATGATCCATGTTGGAAATCATTGAATGTTCGGATTCTGTGAAGGATATGATGGACTTTCATGAGTAGTTCAAGAAGCCAACTTGTATTTTGGAGTGTAAAGCTGTTTTGATGTAGTGTTACCTCTTTAGCACTAGAACTATCAGCTTGAAAGGAAAGATTTTTATGCATGTGAATTTAGACAGAGAGAAGGCAGGGGTAAGTATCTTGTGGGCCTAATCCAAGGAAAGAATAAAATTTTAAAGGCGAAATTAGGTTCTTAACCCAGATAGCAACATTAAGCTAGCCTAAAAGCCAGAAGAAACCTAACACAGGTAGACAAAACTCACACAAGAGCAATTTGGCTCATGATTAAAATGAGTGGGAAACAGGGTTTGTCACTAAGAAAACGCATCTACAAAAGAGCAATTTGGGAAAGGCTGCAGAGCATGAGGCAAAGTGATGACTTCTATCAGTACATTGCCTGAGCTTATGATGCAGGAGATTAATGCATGTTAAGATTCAGCAGGGTAGTTAATATTCCTGTTGAATTAGAAGTTAATTCCACAAGGAAATGGTTTGCTATAAAGTATCTCCCTCCTGCATACAAAATTAGACAGTGAGGTCTTTGTTTCTTGGAGCAGGTTGTCGTATGACCTTAATGCATCCCTTTAAGGAATGTAATATACTATTAAAAGGTTGGCTTGTGTTACATATATAATTGCCTGATTAATTCCAGATGCTACTTAATAGATTTGCAGCCTTGCTGAATTATTACTCGTGTCTTAGCTTGTCTTTTGTGCTATGCAAGGAGGATAAACTAGACGACAAACACAGGGACTTAGATACCAAGTTGATAGCCTAGGATCAATTTTGGTTAATACAGACATGTCTTAATATATTACAAGATAATAACGTATCTGCTATCTGCTATCTGGTCCATCATGTCACTAAACCAAAGAACTCTCGTAAGTTTAGTAAACTGCATAAGAGATTACAATGAAGCATTTGGTTTAGCCTTGTAACTGACTTTAAGAGAGTAACATCATGTCAAGTTAATATAGCAAACAATAAACAGTAGTATCTGCAATTAGATTTAAAAAACTTACTGAAATCACTATTTATAAATGCAGAAAGTAATAAACACAGAAAATAGATTACTGATGGATGGCTACAGATCTCAAAATAGAAAATACTCATCTCTGTGCATATTTTTCATAGGACTGAAGAAATCTATTCCAGCCTCAATACTATTCAACTGGGAACTTCTTTTTCACTAGGCAATGAATACGAAAGGATAAAAATATATAATTTTCTGGTAAAATGTGTTAGGCACGGGAGAAATGGTGCATAAGCAGAAATGCAGGTATTCACAAACTTGTGTTGCACAGTGATTGGGCAACACTGAAACATATATTTATACAACTAAATGTAAAGCTGCAAAACTAGGCACCAAAAATTAAGTTTAGACCTGAAAAGATCATTTTAGGTAACCACTTTTCAAACTGTAAAGCTTTGAAATGAACGTTTTGCACGGCACATACAAGACTGCATAAAGACTGGTAGCAAAGAAAATGAGCTGAATTGCGGGGGACAAGATGCAAGGACATGCAAGGGGAGAAAGGGCTACAGAAGAAGTCGCGAGGCATCGCCTTGAACCCACCTGGGGAAGCCTGGCATGTAGACCCGATGAGCATGAATCACCGTTACTTTACTTCAAGTTAAAGCTGGCTGCCTTTGAAAACTAATTTCAGTAGTGTCCTGCATGCCAGAGGTAGCGCAGCAGGAAGCTTTAGGGAGACTTTTAGGCAAATAATTTATGACAAACGAAGCTTTCAAAATGCTGATGAATCAAATGCACGGTATTAAGGCACACAGTATAAATATTAGGGAACCCAAATCTCACATTTAATTGGTTGTACTGCAGAGCAGAACACACTGTCATCTACTAACGTAGCATATTTCCTAATATAAACAGATGGTATACATTTTGTTCTTATGTATCATTCAAGGTTTCCTCTATACGTATGAAAAAGGGAGATGCCATTTAAAAGCAAGACGAATACACAACACACACAGCAGGGTCAGGTCTTCCAATTCTAAGCAAAGATGTGGAAAGTGAAAGAAAATCTGAAAAATGTATGCTGTCAAGTAAGTAGAACATCAAGAGTTCACTTACTCAGCATTCAGCTTTCCAATGACTCTTCTCCTATTTTTAAATGAGCATTGAGCATATATTTGCAGGGGAAATACTAATTCAGGAGAAATGCTAATTCCTATACTCCTCCAAGAACAAATACTTTATGAAATTACTTTAATGAAAATACTTTATGAAATCTATTTTCTATTTGGAAAGGTATCCTTATTCAAAGAAATTCATTATCCATAACAAATTTCAGGCTCACTAAACTCAAGCTTCTTGAGAGCAAGTTGTTTACTGAATCCAACTGCTACTTGCGGATTACTATTTACAATGTTTATTAATAACTCATTTTCATGCAAGTATAAAAGGAAAATACTCAGTCCATGGACAAATACACATTCACACTCTAAATTATATACATTGTATCTGCATCTAGAATTAAGAGAAGTGCAAAGTCTACAGCAATGTAAGGAACAGCAGTTTTGTAAACTATTAGACGATGAGCTCTGGAAAGACATTAGCAACTGTATGATAATGGATCTCTTTGTACACTGCTGAAATCACACATTTATGCAGTAAGAGAACATACATTTCAGCTACATTCAAGTGATTATTTTATTACCATATATTACATCTTACAAACTTTATTGAAGATCAGCAAGAGCACTACAAAACCATACCTTAACACAATAAATGTATTGCATGGTATGTGCAGGCATAGCAAATTAAACAACTGAAAAGAAAAACAAGCTATGAAAACTTGTACAAAAATGGACAGTAATACTGATTAACACTGGGTTATATCTTACTTATAAGAGACCTGGAGGGCTAATAGAGATCCAATTTAGAAACATCTGTGCACTTTAGGTACAATTTGGTGCAGATTAAGAGTGCACTAATACAGTCAATATTGTACAGATAAGATAATGCACAAAATAAGCTGATATTATGCATATAAACAACTAACTTGTTTACAGTAAGTAGGGCAGCACCGTTACAGTACTGCATCCTTGGCACTTAGTGAGAGAACAACACGTATTTGGTTTAACTAAACTCATAAAAAGGGTATACACTGGTTTGTGAGATGTAAAACATACATTATCCCTTTGAACCTTTCAGTTTTACAGCATTTTTCTAATTTTCAAGTTAAAATTCATACATGGTACACTAACTAGATATGGAAGATGTTTCAGATAGTGCCTTACAACAAGACCTTAACTAGAACGTGCTAGCATGACCAATTAATTTAAATGATCTAATTAAATATTTCAGCGATGTCTTGTACTGAAAACAAAATCTGAAAAGTTGAGGAAAGTAAGCTTGTATTACGACCCACATTTTTTTATGGGCTTTCCTGAACAGTAATTGCTTCCTTAACGTCCCTTTCACATATGGTAATTTCACTTAAAAGAACTGCTGAAATCATTCATCCGAAAGTCTTAACAGAATTAGAAATTTGGCCTAGCATATTGTAACACTAAGTGGAAGAAGACACATTCTTCCTCACAGAAAGCATTTTTCAAATAAGAATTCCAAGCTTAAGTGATTGTCCATGTATTAAAAAAAATATTAACAACTGTCTTGGAAGGCGTTGATTTACTTTTTCCTCTGTTTTAAACAAACTGTCTACATTGCCATTTTATATTATATATAACAAATGCAATAAAATTGTTCTTAACATATAATGATGTAACACTTTAGAATTAACTGGTTTAAAATATTTTACAAAGACATTTTATATGTACTATACAGCACATGAGTATGAAATATTTTGAACATATACACATTTCTATATTTTTCATGTAGACTATTATTTTGCACCAAACATTGGTGTCTACAATTCTAACAATCCTCTCAGATAAAACACACAAAACAGAATGATGCTTTGCAGATGGGATTTTCCTGAAAATTCATCTTATTACACAGAGAATTTCTCTAATGAACTATGTTTTTTAGTTTCATATTTTGCATAAAGCCTTTGAAGTGGATCCACATACATAAAAAGAATAGCCTCTCTGTCCTTTGCAGTGCAATTTGCTAGGGATAATATTTAACAACAACGGACTCTTTCCTTATCACGACCATTAAAAACTGCAGCCAAAGAAAATGTGACTCAGTGTCATTTTTTTTTGTACAAAAGTAAACCTCAATACTACTTGCCATTGAGACTCCTTTTCTCCTTATTTAAAATGCAATCCTTTTCAATATCCATCTTCAGGAAAGTATTTGCATAGAGCAGCCTTGTATTATTTCTAGAGAACATTATGAGTGTTTTAACACAAGATAAGGCACATGTTTTTTAGCATTAACAACCTAAAACTAATCCTGAGGAACTGTTCCTCCTCAGCAAAATCTGCCTTTTTTTTTTCTCAATATACCCTGTATTACCTGAAGAAAGCAGAAAAGCAGTAGAGAATAAACTAAAACTCCTCAGCTGAACTAAATTCAGAACACTACAAACTCCAGATAATAGTGTAACAAATCCACAGATAAGGATGAGCACTAACAAATTGTCTTCAGGAAAAGAAAAGATACCGCCAGTAGCACTGTAGATGTTAGATAAAAGTTCACATAATATGGATGACATTAATGGTGAGTTTTCTAAAATAAGCTCCCTTCAGAATGAAGGTGGCTAAATTGTGAGGCACTTAAGGTTGACAATATAAGGAGGAATGCAAGGGATCTGTTTCATAGAAAACCTGAAGTTGCATATCATATCCTTGTGTTAAGCCTTCTATTAAAGTGCTAGAAATGGAGACTTAAAACAAAAGGATTTAAATATAAGTGATTAAAGAGCTTAGTACACAGTAAAATTAAGTGCTTTTGATTTTCATTATTTCAGAACTTTTTAATATAGTTTTTTTAAAATAAAGTCTGGAAATAATTAATCCATGTGTGAAATCATCTTCCTTGTGCCATTGATGCTATTTGTAAAGTGCCCAATTATTTTTCTAAACAACAAAACCATTTGCCTTATCTTATGTTGTGTAGCATGACATAGTATGTAGTACATATGCAATCCATACTGCAATGACACAGTCTGATGGAAAACAGCACATGCATACTTTTAGTCAAAAAGTTTTCATTCCCACCTGTCACCCTAAAAAATTAGGTCTTGGATTACATATCCTATCAGTATATATAGTGCAACCAACCTCAACTTCTCAACAGGTAATTTAGCCATTAAAGCCCAATGTTCAGAGGTGGACTTATCAAGCTTTTCCTCAGAGCAGCCCGATGCCCAGACAAAAATCACAGATGCAAATCTGGATCGGAGTTACATAAATCCACTAGATGCCAAATCTGAGAAGGATCTGGGTTCTGCTGGATGGTGAAGAGGCTGAAGATGTGTGGCAGTCTGTGTATTACTGATCACATCTAACTGAGAGGGATATGCCTCATTTACATTTCCTCCATTGAAACCGTTCTGGAACTGGGGGAGAAAAGACAATATAAAAGGTTAGCATGAGCAACCGATTAACTTAGAAGTTTTAAAAAATCCTCTTAAATACACAGATTGGATGAGATCATCTTCAAACATAATGAACAGCTTTAAAGCTGCTTTAAAGCTGTTTTTTGAAGATGAATGTTACAAAGCTAATTGATTTAAAGTGATGTCTGAATCATTACTGAAACCTATCCTTGCTACAGTTGTTGGTAATTCTACTTACGGCTAACGAAAGAAACATGTAGCCAGAATCTAAAGCATAGTGCAGTTATTTGTAGAAAGTACAGCCTGAGTACTTCTAATTTCCTCTTCCAGCTGTTACATTTTAAAAGCCACCTATTTGCATACTTTAATGTCTGCAATGGCATCCAGACTTCACAGTTCTCCCACACGGGCACGTTCAGCCCTCTTTGTACACTGAAGTGACTGAGCAGTCTCTACCGGCTGAGCTGTCTTAGGGTGGGCTCTTTTGACAAATGATCTTCATATTGACAAAGCCAAGAAAGAGCAACGAATGGCTTTCATCAGTCTTGACATAACTGTTCGTAGGATTATTTTAATCAACTGCTGCAATGCTGCCTGTCATGCTACGGAAGGCTTGCATTATCTACCAAATACTTCGCTCAGTCATGCAAATAAACTAAAACAAAATATTTTAAACATCTCCATCATTTCTTTGGGAGTAACTCTTATCGGAAGTATCCCCTCATTCATTCAAGATTCTTCCTTAAAATATGGATGGATAAATATTTGATACATCTATCTGCCAAATTATGTTGGCTGTTGGAAACTCTTTTTTCCCTTGCTAGCCAGATCGTTGAAATCTGACTTTGAAACTGAGTACAGTTATTTTTCTTCCAAATTTTCAATAACTAGACTATAGCTATGTGAATTGCATGCTTTAATCTAAGGATGTCTGTTTTTAAGGTAGATAGGATAACACAAGCCAGGGTAACTTCTGGCAACTCCTCCTTCAGAATTAGATTTTAGTATTCTTCACTAATAAGATAAGCACACTCATTAAAATTTATAACAAGATTCTCTGAGTAGGCTCTAGTAAATGGCGAGTGTTTTCTCCTATTTATCAAAGCAATACTGACCTTAAAAAAGCAACCAATTTACCAAAGGCCATTCTACCCCTTCCAGCTCTGAAAATCTATTTAGCCAGTGTTGGCTGTTGTCCTACCACAGATGCACCAGTTCAACAGGAACGGGTTTAGGTGGGACAGACGAGTTGCACGTTAGGCAGAAGGTCAAGGCTGATAATCACAATGGGCCCTTGTGGCTTTCCAATCTCTGCATCTTTTCACATAGAAACCAACTGCGGTTGGAAGGATGATGAAAGGACAGGAATTATGACTCACGTTACAGACATGAGACTCTAACCAGACTCTAACCTCTAGCCCGCTGGGATGTCAGGATGCTAAATCCTGTTGAAGAATGCTCCGATTTGGTTTCGCTGTCTGAATGGAGGCTCAGGATAGTGATATCAGAATTACTTAGTTACATCTTTAATAGAAATCCAATCTTGATAATTTTATTACCATAAGTAGTGGTAAATTCGCTCCATTTACAATAAACAAATGTAATGCCGTTTACCACTTTGGCTTTGGCATAGAAAGTACTTTACAATTTTAAGTGCAGCAGTCTACTTTTGACTTACTAGTTCCTTAGGATTCACATACTTTAATTTTCTCCTACTCCTCTGATACAAGACTGTATTTAATCTTGCTACTAAAAGGATACAGAAACATAGGGTTATTTTCCCTTGGAGCATTGCCACTTCTCTCTAGACTAAAAGATTTTTATATACAATATTATTTCTACCGGTTGACATTGATGCTGCACTTTGCCCTGAATCTATATAAATGTTGGCTGGCAGATCCTACTACAGTTCAAAACTGGGTACCGTCTGATACAAGTGACTTCTTTTAAAGTCATGTGAACAGTATGTAGCAACATGGGACGCAAAAGGCAGTGCTATCTGCACAAGTAGCCTCTTCTTTTCCCAGTGCTCTTCCCATTTTGCATAAATAGGTTTTGGAGCTCCAAGGACATTAAGACAGCAATCAGCTATTCATGATTACTCATGAAGAACAGAGCTGCTCATTTAAGGGCCTTTGGACAAGGATTCTCCAGGTCTCTTCGGGGGCACATGAGAGCCAAGATGGACAACTGTAACCTCAGTTCTGTGCCAGGCTTCTCCTCATGCAACACCCTGCAGATGCATTCTGCATGGGCACACCAGAGCAGAAGGGACTGAACATGCCTCCAAATGGCTTAAGGAAGGATTATTTTCTGACAGTCAAGTTAAAGGCAACACTAGTACTGCAGCAAAACATCCTAGCAAAAATAAAGTAAATTTATTCATTTACTGCAACTGCATGTAGAGCTGCTGTTTTGGTTAGTAAGCCTTTTTACGGATATATGAGAAGTAAAAGTAGTCAAGTACAGGCAACAAAGTAGAAAATGCAATAGCTCAGATGCTTGTAGTTCAAGACTGATGAGCTGCACCCCTACAGATCTTGTGCAAGGAACAGCTCTGTGTTGTAACAGGGATGAATGTCACTCACCCTGGAATCGCTTTTCAACCCTATTATCAAGGGCTACAAAGGATTAATAGCACTGACCACAGCCAGGCACGGCACAGCCAAGTGTGTGCAAGCTTCCTCACTGAACTTTGCCAAAGTAACTTCATGCTATTTCAGTCCTTGAAAACTCGGGCAGCAGCTAGTCATCTTGTTGAACTGTGCTACATTGAACTTTAGTAATTGTGCAATTTTATTTTTTCCACTGGTAAAGCAGTTTTACAAAAGGGTTTGGTTTGTATTTGCAATCATACATACCAAGAAAACTGTGCATGTTCTGCTCGCATTCCTCACCTCTGTCTTGTGTAGGTTAAATGCCAATTAATACTTTAATTCTGTAAATGCTTATGCATGTGCATAAGCATTTGTAGGATCAGTGCTTTGGAATATAAACTCTTGGCGGGGGGGAAAGAATTGCATCTCTGTACTTGAACAGCATTAATAAAAGTAAATGGTATGATTTGGTATGGTACTTCAGCACACTTCATTCTAAATTAGGAATTCCCCTAGTAATTAAAGTTTTTATTTCTAAGTTAATTCTACCTATGAAGAACTGCAGTAAAACTGCAACTTGTGATAAAGCCACGCTTCTCTATTTTCTACTGCTTCTGTTGTGTACTTTTCTTAGCACAGTGTGAAAAAAGCTCCGCTTTTCTCCTGTGGATAAGTTCTTTCCCTCTCTTGTTTGCAGAAGACGTAATTTAAGCAGAAGCTTGAGGAACAAACTGACCTTTGTTTACAGCATGTTATGAAAATCTTTCTGTAGTATTGTCATGTGTATAAATGCAACAGTTCATAATATTCACGCAAATTACGCAATGCTACAATCTCATACTTAATCCTAAAATCTTCTAAGAATCTGAGTAGCTATAGACTACCGTAAAATTTTTAAAACTAGAGATTTTTCTGGAACCTTAAAACATACATGGCAAATGTATCTGCCATATGACAGCACTGATATCATTTCATCCCTCCACAAAATTCACATAGTCAAATTCTAATATTCCGACCAATCTCCTTTCCCTTTGCTCCGGTCTTGTACTGGGAAAAGTTCTATTTCGTACAGTAAACTAGTTGTCCCACTGTGTTGTTTGAGTATAATGCTGCCAAAGCCAGGTGACAGTCTTGAAAGCACCCAGGACGCGGCTATGCGGACAGAAAGATGTGACCGAATGCAACTTTGTTCAATATAGCAAAGTGCTAAGATAACAATTTTAAACTCAGTCATTCAGTTATAACAAACTCGGCATGCCGTTAAGTCAACCAAAAAATGGATTCCAAATGAAAGCATCATAACAACACGTTACCATACCTTGTTCAACAACACTTGTTGACCTGTCACCACTGGATCATACTGCATTTGTTCTACACAGCTGGGCTGTGCTTCTTGTGTGCACTGGTACATAGACACAGCACCTGCATAGCACGTTTGAGGAGTTACCATAACTGGTTCAGAGTTTATCCCACACTCCTGATTTTCAGGGACTTGCTGCAAACAACTGAGAAAATCCTCAAAGTTGGAAGAAGCAGAATAGTTCGATCGGTCAAAACCTGCTACAGGGAAATCCATTTGGGTAAAGTTAGAGAGCTGTGGCATCATAGGTGTGGGCTGTTTGTAAGGAATGAACTCCTGCCTACATGCATAAGGTGCAGTGTTTACTTCCGATTTGTAGAACTCCGGAGCAGCGGCATGCATGCCGGGAAACGCGTATTGCTCGGGCTGCTGCTGGGAGCAGCTCAGGGGCATGCTGCTGCCGGAGCCCCAGTTCGTGAACATCCCGTTGACTTGCATATGCTTCATCTTTTGACACAGCTGCTGCTGCTGCTGCTGCTGTTGCTCCACAAGCTGTTTCTGGTGCTGATGAAGTTGATGCTGATCAAATTCTTGCTGTACCAAGCAACCAGCATTCTGGACCAGAGGCTGTTGCTGTTCGCAACCTGAATACAGGAAGTCAGACTTATTATTTAAGGAATCCTGAACATAAGTCAGAATTTCATCAGTTATATCAATGTCTCCAATATCATCCACACCAGATAACTCAGTTTTAAAAAACTCCTCATCTTGCTGAATACATTTTAGATCTTCAAAGTCAATACCCAGATTTTTCATGATGCTGTACAACTCACTGGTTTTATTATCTTGAAAGAGTGCTGCACTGTCTTCAGGAAGTAGCATATCAGTGTCTTGGGAACACTCCATTAGCTCCTGTTTCAGAACGTTGTGGTTTCCAGAGGGTAGGAGAGTGTCTGGCCAGTCACTGCTAATAACATTGGCCAATTCATCCTTGGTGTCTGTAAAGAGGCTCCGCTCAAAGGAGAATTTATTTGATGCTGGAGGGCAGAGATACACAGACTCATCTTGCCTTAACATGGCACCGAGAAGGGAGTTTGGATCCACGGAATCTTTGAGTAGCGTAGCTTTGGCAGCAGCTCCTTTTCCCATGGTACTTTTGTTCTTCGGCTGGGAAGGATCCATAAGGCTCGACATAGGGAAAGTTACCTCATATAACACAGCCTCACCAGTGGCGAACATGAAGGGCAACTTCATGTTACGCTTCCGTAGATGTTCTGCCCCCTCTTCATCTCTGAAAATAAATAAAAAATATGGCACAATACTGCAATACTATAACTACAACAGTGTTTTTTGTCCTTTGGAATTAATATAAAAAACAAAATCCCCAAACCTTTATGCTATCTCTAGGCATTTTTCAAATTCCTAGCTATTCCAGCTCAACTTGGCTGAGTAAAACCAAGAGGCAGCTTATGATATAAGGAGCTTATGGCTGTAACACCACCCTTACGTATTACAGTTGTAATTAAACCTGGATAGCATACACCGTTTTCTGTGTATTATGAGCTCACATGAACATAAATGGCCTTTGTTCCATGCACTATACTTTTCTTGATATGGGAGGTAAATGAATACTTTGGTATTGTAGTATTTACTTTTTTCCCTTTTACAAACTCACCATCAAAAATGTTTCATTTGTATAATAACACTTAATTCTATATTATTTGGAATCAGGACCATAAAGATCTTAATTGCTGCATGTTAGGCATTTTTTTTCTCTACACATCTGCAGTTGGATTTTCTTAATTTTTGCTTACTGGGGTACTGAATTAAAAATATCTTGACTGGAATAACTCGGTGTTTGTACCACTTCTCTTACTCTTTATAAAAATTAAGATATCAAACTTTTGATAAAAAATATCAACATTAAAGGGAGGGCTATGACACATACATAAACACTGAAAAGGCAAAATCTCTTTTTAATATTGGCTAGCAAATGAAAATCTCTTCAAACTTTCAACATTCAAAGATGGTTTATTTAAAAATAAACCAATCACTTCTGAACATCAACAAGGTCAAAAACTGAGCTCTGCTGGTTGAAGTACACTTCCTTAGGCAATGATGACTTACGTAAGAGGTCTCTGCGTGGCAATGATGTAATCTGGTCTTCCATTTTTGTAGACAAGGCGTGCATTTGCTTGAACCCAAGCCCATCGATTTTCTTTGGTTAGAAGCCTAAACACAGTCATTCCACTCTCTCCAGTCTTCATCACTAGTTAATAAAGGGCAAACATACTGCTTAGTGTCCACTGAACATAAACAGGAAAACCTGGCATGTCATGAGGGTAATCCCATTTATGGGGCAATTTCACAATCTCATGTCCTCAATTATTTCATTTTGATGCAGCTCTGATTTATTCCTAGCAAAACAGGATGATGGATCACTTTTAAGCATGTCTCATTACTGTCAAATATAAAAGCCAAAAATTACAACTCATTGTACGATCCACTACAGAACGGCAATGTTTAATCTATACTGCCTTATCTGTTATTTCTGTAGTAGCAGAGAATGTTAAATATTAGAGGATGCAAATAAAAAAGCCAAAATCTCTTTTACTGTTGAAAAGTGACCACAGTTTAGACAATTAGAACATACATTAATTATTAATCAAAGGTCTTTCACACTTTGATAATTAATGCAGTGCTATTTCAAAACACATTTTCCATTCTGACTTTCTCTCAACTTCACTGGCAATGCTTAATTCTACACTGCTGAATCTGCTGTATTTCTAGACAAAAAAAAGAAATAAAAAATATAGAAGTTTAAGAATCCTAACAGAATAATCTGAACTAAAAGGAGACTTCTTTCTTTAATTTAGCACCACAAACTACAGAAGAAGAATTTTAAAACAGAGTGAATGTTCAATAGGTGCTGCTCTGCAAACCTTTTTCACTTTTATTTATTTAGCTTTGGAATAAATCCCAAATCTATTTTTTTTTTTTTTAAGCTTCATCTGCCCCATTGCTTCAAGTCCTGGTCTATTATATGGGACAAAAGTGATTGAGCTGTCCTTGAAACAGAGTAGCTGCTTAATATGGGTTAAGATCTAAGCTGCTAGCAGGATTTGTTTAGTTATACATAAAGGAAGAAAAGAACAAGAACGTTTTTTCAAGATAATTCAATAAACGAGAAGCATCACCAAAATATGCTGAAAAAAAAGAAAGAAGTCTATCAAAAGGTTACATATCAAATAACTGATATTTATTTCTTTACTAGCTTGAAAAATGAGAATTTTCTTCTTAAACTGTTACTTAAAACAAATTAAGCTGCTAGGACTTAATAATAGGAATTTATATGACACTAGCATCCCAATTCAGTGGTTTACTTTTGTTAAAAAAAAGCTTACACTGAGATCAAAAGAAAATGCTTTATTTATTTCCCAACAGGAAAGCTATATTAAAAATAGTTTCTCCTCCCAGAAGGAAGTTGTTGAAATAGCAGAAGTTGGGTTGTGCACAGAAGGAAGTGAGAAGAGCAAGATGTGACTGACAAACTGGGATATTTAAACTAAAAGGATCTAGATAGACTTCTTAAATATTTCTTCATCCAGTGCACACTCTTTTAAGGAGGGCAAGGTCACATAAAAATCATGGGTATTCTTTTGATAAGGGAAAGATTAATTTTTAAAGCGCTTCATGATATTTTCGTTATGAATATAAGTCATGCTTTGCTTTTTCAGCCTTTCTTAGGGAAAGGAACTTACTTCGGACATGATTTTCTGCACAATAAAGCATATCAGCTGCATGAACAAACTGGTATCCTGTTCCTCTCATACACAGCTCTGCTTCAGTGTATCCCAGAACAATCTTTCCTCTGAAAGGTTAAAGAAGAAACATTCAAATCAATTATGCTAAAACTTTGCAGATATAAATGCTAACAACGTTTTCTTGAAACATCAATTGAATTCAGAAGTATGAAAGGTCTAATAAAAAGGTAGTGAACAAATCATGAAACTTTAACTAGCTCCCCAACCTGGCTTCAATGACTCAAAACAGGTTTGCAAAAAAGTATATTTACAGCTAAGGTAGCCCACTAATTTCATATTTTAAAGCTAATTACTGTATTATTGACCACTTGCTCAGTTACAGCAGGCAGCCCCCAGCAGGTGCAATAAAAGATACTATTCTCCTGGCCCTATTTCATAGCATTTACCTGTAAATGCTTGTATGAAGAATTAAGTAGCAGTCTAACTTTAGTTATCTAAACTTTCTTGGCTAATTTATTTTGTAATTTAAAACTAGAGTTATATATCTTTTGCTATCAAGTGGTTTGGGCTATCGGGTTCGCACGATTGCCAAAGAACTGTCTCACCTTCCCTCAAAGTGTGAGATAGAAATTCAGTTGTGCCAATCGGGCTGCAACTCACTTTTCTTTCTGCTGCATAAAAGCTCACATTTGCTCCTCTAAATAAGCGATAGGTATTTTAGATCTCATTCTGCAACTTAAAAGGTACGAGCCATCTCATCCACTTTATGCCAGCCACTCTTCGCCTGAGCTCCTCAAAGTTCCAACAGAAATGAATTTCATTCATTCTAAGAGGATTACTTGCAATATGACTAAATGTGTGTTTTACTAGAGGTCAGGCAGATCAATGATATGAGTTCTCATAGAGTGAGAACTATGAGATATATGATGGAAAGAAAGAAATAGTAAAAAAGAGATCAAAACAGACTTGGAAGAAAGAGATGAAGATCCAAAGACAAAAAGAGAACAATACATGGAAAAGTTTAAAACAAGACAAAAATTGAAGGTTTCAGGTAAGGCATAGGTATGGAAATCCACCATGAGATATTCGAGGGGGAACAAAACAAAAACACACACACTGAAAACTGATTGTCAGTCAAAAATAGGGAGGGAGGGAAGAAGGAAGGAAGGAGGCCAAAGACTTTTACATAAGGAAGCATCTCAATGGGCTTCTTGCCATGTTGATGCACAGTTGTGTGATGTTGATCTAGTAACATGGTAGTGCTTCCAGTTTTTATAAAGGAAAAGAATGGTTTGGAAACGGGTCAAAGTCACAGCATAAAAGAGAACTTTGTTTAATTTGTAATAAATTTCATTTCCATTGTATCTTACACCTATTTCGACTGGAAAACAGGCATGTAGAACTTGTTCTGTCAGTTCTAAAGACGGAATTTAAGCCAGATCAAAACATTAGACTTCATTAGTAAAATTAATTAGCATTCTGTTACTGTAGGATAACAAGTCTGAGGTTTGTCTTTTTATGTTTTTAAAGATCCAGAGACAGAAAGCAGCACAAATTTTCAAGGAAATACTCTAAAATATTTCTTATTTTCATTTATTTCCTAGCAGATAAAGAGAAAAATCATAACAGATACTAGACTATCATCCGTATTGACTGATACACTAACCACCTTTCTATTTCAAATACATATTTGAAGCCTATCATTAGCAATTGAGTAGAGTTCTGTGTAGAAGAATTTGTACCTACTTTGCATCACAGCCAGTAGGTGTGAAGTCCAGTTTGTGTTTAGTTCTGAAGATGAAGTTTTTGGTTCGTATCTCAAGGATAGATGGTGGCTGCAGAGGAGTAGCTACTGCAAATAGAGCAAGCTGAGGAGACAAAGTAGCGCCATCCTTCCCTTTCTTATTTTGTCCATGGAGAAACTTTAATCGTCCTTGAAAATTCATGGCCTTTGGAAGAGAAAAGAAGTAATTGTTACATACTGGAGATATTTAAGAGTCAGATAGGCCATCATGGAGTAAAATATACCTTTCTTTTCTTTCAAATCTATTACATTTAATCTTTTTAGCATGATATACATGAAGTTTAGTAAACAAGTTCAGAGCACTACTGATACCTTCATTTCACTTGGAAATCTACCAAGAAATAAACTTGAAAAAGAACTAACACAAGGCTCTTTTGTTAAAAAAGGCAAAAAAATGCATCTAATAGCAAATGAACCTTATTTAATTAATTGAGCATTTACTTATGCTCTTGCATTTCTGTCAATCATTAGCATAGAGCATACAATTACAAAACCTTATATAAACAAGTCTATTGGTAAGCAGTCATGCAGAGGAAGATAAACCCACATTATTTGTTTTAGAAACCATAGAACCGACAATCAACAAGTGTATCTAAAACAAATATTTTTCTAAATAAGGAAAAAAATTGCTTCTGTTGATTATTAACTTTAAATAATTTCAAGATACCCAACGGAAAATAAGGCTTTTTAATTCATAAATCATATTGTACTTCACAGAAGTAGATACTTAGTTTTATTTCACAGCAGAACCTGAGCCACGATTCTAACAACATGATACATTTTCCTGAGGCAAATCAGGAATAGAACTTGTCATTTAATGCCATTAGCGACCATAAACTGGTTCAAGCAGCTCAGATATCTTCAGAGACTCAACAAATAAAGCAAGTTGCTTCACATATTGTAAGGGATGCTGTAAATTGGCAACTTTTATCCATGTCCAGAAGATTTTACCTCAGTCTGTACTCACCAGGAACCCAGATGAATTATCCAGGAGGCATCGTAACCTGCAGATGAAATTCCTTTCCATAAAGGAAGAATTTTCTGGAGGAAGTTGGTCTGGGTTATAATAGGTTGCTGGCTGTGAAAAGCCATTATCTCCTACAGGAAAGGATTATTTATAAGGATTATTTTTAGAAGAACACCTAGTAAAGGCTATCTATAACAAATCGTCTTCCGTCTCATAAACAAAACCTCAGGTCATGTCCTGAACAAGAACAATGTAAAATAGAAACATCCTCAGAACCTTTACTGATTACAGCACTATGCTAAGCATCAGTTCTTCTGATGGGATTAAAAAAAAAAAAAAAAATTTACTGTCATTTTACTGACTAATGACTTAATTCATTATTTTAGTCAACAGGCTAGACTTTGAATCAATCACAGAAAACAGAGAATGCTCTACAGACAAGATATCACCATTACTGAAAGGGTAGGATCTTCAAAATGGAATTAAGCACCCAGTCCTAGTAACTATATGAACCAGGTACTCAATAGCTCAGTAGAGAGTATCAGGCTGAAGACTGAGACATGGTCACTCTTCAAACACCCAGACAAAAGCTGTCTGCAGCACTAAATAAAACTCTCTCCCTTTGAGAGAATGGATGCAATTACTTTCTCTAATGGATGGAAAAAAAAGAAAGAAAAAGAGAAAAAAGGCCACAAAATAATGAAGACTATTCCATCATTGTGTTGATGAAGAAAATACTATAGTTACCTCTTCAGAGGAATTTGAAACATGTATTATTTAAAAAACAACCAAATCAAAACAACCTACCCAAAAACATGAACAACTAGGATGCTGTTGTTTACCATGCCATGTCTTTTCGAAGCAAATTCAGCAAAGTGATCATTTGCAATATATATATAAACCTTTAAATAGTCTTTC